AATCACATCAACAAAATATATTTTGATGGAAATTACTGATCAACTTCATCCTTCTGTGCTACATACAGCCACACTAATCTCCCTTCACTTAGACTTCTGTTGAGGCTTATGTGTTATATCTCACCCCATATGAGGTGCAGCATCTCCAGCTCTGCTGTTCCTGTCCTGTCCCAGGTTGTCTTAAACCCACTAGATGGTGTCATTCGGGGTCTCTTTAATTGCTGATCCATTTTCAGCATGTGCTCAAAAATATAGTCACATAAAAGACCCAATGTCAGTAGGCATCACTCCATCACAAGAGACAGTCATATACAAAAATTTGGCATTTGAAGGTGAGCAAGTATGAGACATGCACTGGACGAACAGATTCATATTGAACAAAGGATCATAACATCGTAAATAAAGGAGTACAAGACTAAATTTAAGAACCTGACACTCTGTTATTTTGATGTGTACTTGCATATAAAACTTGATAATAATAGGGGACTGTATATAAGTAATGCCCCAGGTACAATGTGGTGCACTGATGGATGGAGTGCCAGCCTGTAGTCACCTCCAGTAGTAAGAGTAAGGGGCTAATAACCAGGCTCAGACAGACAGTCTTTCTACCAAGATCCTTATAGCAGATGATGCGTTGCAGGAAGACTTTAAAGACATCTATAACGAACAAGCTGTATATTCTTTATGCCTGCTTGGTGACATGCCACATTAGAATGTACAGCTGAAACTTGGTCTTAAAGCTGTAATAGTTGGACTATCATTTGGGACTTATGCATCTTTCAACTTTATCATGTCTTACTTGGATGTCTTTTGGCATTTCATTGCCAATGCTAATGGTATGTCAGGGCTCACTGGGATCTGTGAGCTGTGCAGCAGAAGTCATATTGGTATGTCAGGGCTCACTGGTAGTTGTGAGCTGTGCAGCAGAAGTCATAATGGTATGTCAGGGCTCACTGGGATCTGTGAGCTTTGCAGCAGAAGTCATAATGGTACGTCAGGGCTCACTGGTATCTGTGAGCTGTGCAGCAGAGGTCATAATGGTATGTCAGGGCTCACTGGTATCTCTGAGCTGTGCAGCAGAAGTCATAATGGTACGTCAGGACTCACTGGTATCTGTGAGCTGTTCAGCAGAAGTCATAATGGTATGTCAGGGCTCACTGGTAGTTGTGAGCTGTGCAACAGAAGTCATAATGGTATGTCAGGGCTCACTGGGATCTGTGAGCTTTGCAGCAGAAGTCATAATGGTACGTCAGGGCTCACTGGTATCTGTGAGCTGTGTAGCAAAAGTCATAATGGTACGTCAGGACTCACTGGTATCTGTGAGCTGTGCAGGGGGAGTCATAATGGTATGTCAGGGCTCATTGGTATCTGTGAGCTGTGCAGCAGTCATAATGGTACGTCAGGGCTCAATGGTATCTGTGAGCTGTGCAGCAGAAGCCATAATGGTATCTCAGGGCTCAATGGTATCTGTGAGCTGTGCAGCAGAAGTCATAATGGTACGTCAGGGCTCACTGGTATCTGTGAGGTGTGTAGCAGAAGTCATAATGGTATCTCAGGGCTCAATGGTATCTGTGAGCTGTGCAGCAGAAGTCATAATGGTATGTCAGGGCTCACTGGTATCTGTGAGCTGTGTAGCAGAAGTCATACTGGTACGTCAGGGCTCAATGGTATCTGTGAGCTGTGCAGCAGAAGTCATAATGGTACGTCAGGGCTCACTGGTATCTGTGAGCTGTGCAGCAGAAGTCATAATGGTACGTCAGGGCTCACTGGTATCTGTGAGCTGTGCAGCAGAAGTCATAATGGTACGTCAGGGCTCACTGGTATCTGTGAGCTGTGCAGCAGAAGTCATAATGGTACGTCAGGGCTCACTGGTATCTGTGAGCTGTGCAGCAGAAGTCATAATGGTACGTCAGGGCTCACTGGTATCTGTGAGCTGTGCAGCAGAAGTCATAATGGTACGTCAGGGCTCACTGGTATCTGTGAGCTGTGCAGCAGAAGTCATAATGGTACGTCAGGGCTCACTGGGATCTGTGAGCTGTGCAGCAGAAGTCATAATGGTACGTCAGGGCTCACTGGGATCTGTGAGCTGTGCAGCAGAAGTCATAATGGTACGTCAGGGCTCACTGGGATCTGTGAGCTGTGCAGCAGAAGTCATAATGGTACGTCAGGGCTCACTGGTATCTGTGAGCTGTGCAGCAGAAGTCATAATGGTACGTCAGGGCTCACTGGTATCTGTGAGCTGTGCAGCAGAAGTCATAATGGTACGTCAGGGCTCACTGGGATCTGTGAGCTGTGCAGCAGAAGTCATAATGGTACGTCAGGGCTCACTGGTATCTGTGAGCTGTGCAGCAGAAGTCATAATGGTACGTCAGGGCTCACTGGTATCTGTGAGCTGTGCAGCAGAAGTCATAATGGTACGTCAGGGCTCACTGGTATCTGTGAGCTGTGCAGCAGAAGTCATAATGGTACGTCAGGGCTCACTGGTATCTGTGAGCTGTGCAGCAGAAGTCATAATGGTACGTCAGGGCTCACTGGTATCTGTGAGCTGTGCAGCAGAAGTCATAATGGTACGTCAGGGCTCACTGGTATCTGTGAGCTGTGCAGCAGAAGTCATAATGGTACGTCAGGGCTCACTGGTATCTGTGAGCTGTGCAGCAGAAGTCATAATGGTACGTCAGGGCTCACTGGTATCTGTGAGCTGTGCAGCAGAAGTCATAATGGTACGTCAGGGCTCACTGGTATCTGTGAGCTGTGCAGCAGAAGTCATAATGGTACGTCAGGGCTCACTGGTATCTGTGAGCTGTGCAGCAGAAGTCATAATGGTACGTCAGGGCTCACTGGTATCTGTGAGCTGTGCAGCAGAAGTCATAATGGTACGTCAGGGCTCACTGGGATCTGTGAGCTGTGCAGCAGAAGTCATAATGGTACGTCAGGGCTCACTGGGATCTGTGAGCTGTGCAGCAGAAGTCATAATGGTACGTCAGGGCTCACTGGGATCTGTGAGCTGTGCAGCAGAAGTCATAATGGTACGTCAGGGCTCACTGGGATCTGTGAGCTGTGCAGCAGAAGTCATAATGGTACGTCAGGGCTCACTGGGATCTGTGAGCTGTGCAGCAGAAGTCATAATGGTACGTCAGGGCTCACTGGGATCTGTGAGCTGTGCAGCAGAAGTCATAATGGTACGTCAGGGCTCACTGGGATCTGTGAGCTGTGCAGCAGAAGTCATAATGGTACGTCAGGGCTCACTGGGATCTGTGAGCTGTGCAGCAGAAGTCATAATGGTACGTCAGGGCTCACTGGGATCTGTGAGCTGTGCAGCAGAAGTCATAATGGTACGTCAGGGCTCACTGGGATCTGTGAGCTGTGCAGCAGAAGTCATAATGGTACGTCAGGGCTCACTGGGATCTGTGAGCTGTGCAGCAGAAGTCATAATGGTACGTCAGGGCTCACTGGGATCTGTGAGCTGTGCAGCAGAAGTCATAAAGAAACGCATTAAGTTTGGTTGCACTGATGTTCAATAGTTTATAATTCTAAACATTTTTGGGATATATCAAAACTAGATCTTCAGTAATAATAGACTGTCAACTTTAGTTGATACAAACTGTAGTTACACAGTGCTACTTTTCCTTTAGGATCAATATTTCATGTAAATGTCAAAACTTTTGTTTGGGATAATATTAATTGAAGAAAGAATTATCAAAGAATTTTTCATGGGAATCTATAACTGACAACAAGTGACTTTCTTTTTTGATCAAAACTGAATTAACAATGATGAAATCCTTTTCAGCTCAAATATCTCAATAAATACAGTCTACTGATAAACATCAAAATTTAGGGATATTAACACATTTTTTAGTTTGTACTTTTTATTCAGATAGCATTTAATTAAAATCCTGATACAACACACATTGATCAGATCACAAGCACCCTAGAGATGAGATTGTGTACAGACTCACAGACCAGCCATGAGGTAATGTGTAATAGTTTGTCCGTCCACTCTAAAATCTACATTTAAATGAACATTCTATTGCAGGAAAAAACATGCATAATTAACAAGGTAAATATTTGGTCATCCATAAAATGTCTGCTCACATTGAGCACAATGACGTGAGAAGAGTATCAGATTTACAGATCACAGACTGTATCATCCACAACCCAAGGACCAGTTTGTTAAGTTGAATTTCATCTCTACTGGGGGGTGTTCAGTAAGGGGATCAAAACTTGTACATCAGTCAAATGGTCAATAATTCTACTAAGGAATTATTAAAACAGGACAAATGCCTCTTTAAATAATGTTGGTAAGTTAAAATACACTGATTGACATATACGACTAGTAAACAAAATACATATTTTTAATTTGGACTTTAAAAAAGAAAAGCTTCAAAACATTTTCCGAAATGAAATTTTTTGGAATGCAAACATTTTATAACTGAATACAAACCTGATTGTGTTTACTAGTACATGTAATGTGAACCTGATTGTGTTTACTAGTACATGTAATGTGAACCTGATTGTGTTTACTAGTACATGTAATGTGAACCTGATTGTGTTTACTGGTACATGTAATGTGAACCTGATTGTGTTTACTGGTACATGTGATGTGAACCTGATTGTGTTTACTAGTACATATAATGTGAACCTGATTGTGTTTACTAGTACATTTAATGTGAACCTGATTGTGTTTACTAGTACATGTAATCTGAACCTGATTGTGTTTACTAGTACATGTAATCTGAACCTGATTGTGTTTACTAGTACATATAATGTGAACATGATTGTGTTTACTAGTACATGTAATGGGAACCTGATTGTGTTTACTGGTACATGTAATGTGAACCTGATTGTGTTTATTAGTACATGTAATGTGAACCTGATTGTGTTTATTAGTACATGTAATGTGAACCTGATTGTGTTTACTGGTACATGTAATGTTAACCTGATTGTGTTTACTGGTACATGTAATGGGAACCTGATTGTGTTTACTGGTACATGTAATGTGAACCTGATTGTGTTTATTAGTACATGTAATGTGAACCTGATTGTGTTTATTAGTACATGTAATGTGAACCTGATTGTGTTTTCTAGTACATGTAATGTGAACCTGATTGTGTTTTCTAGTACATGTAATGTGAACCTGATTGTGTTTATTAGTACATGTAATGTGAACCTGATTGTGTTTTCTAGTACATGTAATGTGAACCTGATTGTGTTTACTAGTACATGTAATGTGAACCTGATTGTGTTTACTAGTACATGTGAACCAGGATCTCAACAAAGCAAAACGTTAATATAATCAATACATTTAAACATTAAAATTCCAAATACACCATAGCCTTATATGATGTTCACTTGTTCCAAATGCCTTCCTCACTCAATATAGCCCTGCTTTAAGGGTAAAGAGAGAGTACTAAAGTCATAGACATCCGTATCCACTCTATTACTATTAAGTGTAGATCAATTGATATTTAATATATCCTCTGGAGAAAGTAACACACCTGAAGGTGTGAATTCAACCTTTTGTTTTGCGTTGATGGTTCTCAGGACAAAGACTTGGTCCAAACAAACACAAGCAACCTTTTGTTTTGCGTTGATGGTTCTCAGGACAAAGACTTGGTCCAAACAAACACAATCAATCTAATCAGGAGGCCGCAGATGACTGTCGGACAGGTCGATCCCTTGATTGTCTTCCAGCATGCCGGCTTCACAAACACCAACAATTACTGTAGACAGACAATTGTTATAAAATGCAGTTTTAATAGAAATGCATCTTTGTGTAACTTGGTGCATGTTATATCACAAGTGGTTCCTGAAAACACCTGTGGAGTGTACACCTGTAATTAGTCCATCAGGTACACCTGTAATTAGTCCATCAAGTACACCTGTAATTAGTCCATTAAGTACACCTGTGTGAAATCCTTTACAGTCAGTGATATCACCAGAGAACGAGGATCTTTCCTACTCTTCTTACAGTTTATCTTCCCTTGTAGAACCTCACCTGAAACAAGATGGTGTTTTCTTTAAAAGTTATAGAACAGATCAACCAAGTCTGACAAAGGAATGAGACTACTAATCATAAACTGAAAATATCAGCGGAAATTACAACTTATATTACAATCTGAAAACATGTTGTATAGGAACCATGATAGTGGACTGGAATAGTGGTGGTAACATAAGTTGATAAGAGTAGTATGTCCCTTGATGTACAATGTAACCTCACAAGTCGCGCTCCCCATAACAGTTGTGATTATACTGAGAATGACACAATTTACAGTCTTCTCTTGAAATCTTTTTTACCAATATGCAAATTTATGTGGTCATCTTTGGCACACAGAAGAGTTTATCTATATTAACATGTGCAAAGTATTTTAATTTCAACATTGTGCTTATATAAACATATCTATTTTTTAACATAACTATCAGTATAACCATAAGCCATAAAAACTGACTTTGTATAACAACAAACACAGCAGACCCCTACTCCAACAGTGTTAGAGGTGTACAAGGCGAGACACTTTTGACAAAATCATATCCGATAGAAAAAAGACCGACCAGCGGCCACTTTATAGGAGTAAGCAAACCCATACTTAAAACAATCCACCATACTGGAAGACGTTTACTTCTAGTGTTGGTATGCAAGACTTAACAAAACTTTACTTTTTGAAGTAAATATTCAATTGCATGGTTACAAAAAACCTTTGAATGAAAAAGACTGCAATTTGTTTCACTATGGTGAGTAAAACCGCAATTCCACATCCAAACCAGGAATCTAACCCAGTCGTCCTCAAGTAGCCAGTGGTTCAACCCACTGACCAATACACTGATAACAAACAAGTCAAGGCTGATGTACCCTGGTACCTATCCACTGAGGAACTTACATGTCACCCTGTACCCTGGTACCTATCCACTGAGGAACTTACATGTCACCCTGTACCCTGGTACCTATCCACTGAGGAACTTACAGGTCACCCTGAAATGATTGGCCTACCTTTTGTTACTGTAATAGGATGTTCTATTAGGAACACTGTCTGTCTCCAATGTGTTGATGTATGTGCTGGACCAGTAGAAAAAGTAACCTAGATGATAAAATAAATTAGCTCATTATAAACAGTTTACCTTTTTAGGGTATATATGTATATATATATTACATCTCAATGTTAGAAGAAAACACTTTAGTAATTTGATGCTGGTTTTTCTCCAGAAATAAATAATATAGGGCAACAACATAACCTAATTTATATACAGCTCAAAACATTTCTTCAATGACATGCTTACTGAAGGGTCAGAATATTGTTTCATTTCTTCAATGACAGGCTTACTGAAGGGTCAGAATATTGTTTCATTTCTTCAATGACAGGCTTACTGAAGGGTCAGAATATTGTTTCATTTCTTCAATGACAGGCTTACTGAAGGGTCAGAATATTGTTTCATTTCTTCAATGACAGGCTTACTGAAGGGTCAGAATATTGTTTCATTTCTTCAATGACAGGCTTACTGAAGGGTCAGAATATTGTTTCATTTCTTCAATGACAGGCTTACTGAAGGGTCAGAATATTGTTTCATCTTTTCAATGACAGGCTTACTGAAGGGTCAGAATATTGTTTCATTTCTTCAATGACAGGCTTACTGAAGGGTCAGAATATTGTTTCATCTTTTGTATTCACAGTTTATTTTCTGTGAAATTGAAGTTCTAGAACAGCAAATTACAAATGAATTTCAAAACTGATCCCGTGGAACCTTCAGTACAATATGTTTATGCAGTACTTTATCTTGTATCTGGTGTTGTTTTCCCTATATATTCAATTAAAAGGCACACAAAAAGAAATGCCAATGCTCATACAATAATCATACATTTGATATTTTGTAAATAAATGCCTTTAACATTGTACTACTATAAAATAATTTTTATTTAAAGAAAAATCTACATGAAAGGATGAAACATATTATTTTTTTAAAGGGTGAAAATATTTCCATTCCAAGTGAGGAAGGGTATTGTATTACCTTGGAGCTGCAGCCTTTATCAAAGAACATGTCAAAATAGCTGACAATCGCATAGATTTGGCCGTCCTCCTTGACCGTCAGGGAGAAGTGTTTGTGAAATTGTAAGTCCTCAAGTCTGCAGGTACACACATCAATTTCCTGTCAAACGACAGGTAAAAACATGTAAGAGGGAGAGACAAGTGCTAGGGAGATATGAACATACTGCTGATAAAGGTGTAGATTTAAATCATACAACAGCCAGATTCTTTAGATTTTTTTTCTAGGCGATATATATATATATGTGCACTTCAAAGTTTCATCAAAAGACCTTGAACGATTTAAACATTATGGCTCAGACCAAACTTTTTTGAGGTAAAGATCAGAGTATACAAATTTAAGCACACTGTAAACCTTCAGTGGGTGAAGATGATTTGCTTCAAGTTTCATCTAGATATCTTCAACAGCTTAAAAAGTTTTTTGCAAGCAAGAAGAGAAGGAAAAGACGATATTGCTGTTATGATTTTTTTTACTAAACTGAGCAGTTTATTGACCGATTTCAAATGTTATGTCCATGTCAAAAACAAAGAAGGCAAAATACATTTGAAGAGTTCAATGATGGTCATCAGACAAGGTTAACAAGGTTAACAGTTCTGTGAAGTAGTTTTAAATCTTATGGCCCTTTCCTGAGTGTTCTCTGGGAAGGTATACATCATACTACCCCACCTATTGCCTTGGCATTATACATCCCCAAACAACACTATAAGAACAGTTCAATCAGGAAACTGACATAATAGATTAATAATGCTGAAAAATGAGTTAATCAGTTCAAAATTATGTACATAAATCAACATGTAAATGTGGGTCTTCACATTTAATGTACAGTACTCCATGTCCAGTATTGGTAATCTCAACATACAGCCCACTTACAATTGTGCTCTCTTGTATAAAGATACTTATTGATTGAGCATACTTTGCCCTGCCTAACCAAAATTATTCTCGTAAATAATCCTTATACATTTTATATCAAACACATATAAATGACGGAAAACATCTTCTCATGCATGTCAAACCAGCTGAATGTAATTACCTTAACAACGACAGCATCTGTAATGATCTTCTCTGACTTGACAACCTCTACACTGGCTTCTTTAACAACCTCCGACTTCATACAGGTCATCTTGTAGCCATAAACATTGTCCCAGAAGGTCACATGTTTACTGTGAAGGTCAGGGTCACCGGATGCCACCAGACTGATATTACACTTGTCTGGGTGAACTGTAGAGAGACAGGGTAGCGTTAAGGGAGATAACAATTTAGACCTTTCTTAAAAAAAAATTCCTTATTGAAGGAATTGTGTATTTCAGTTTTTAAAAATGATATAGAGGATTTCTTTAAAAAAATTCCTGTTTCCATGATTTTGTGAAACAAGATTCAGTTAGCTTCATAAAAATTCCATATACTCAAACAAAGCATGAACAATTATACATTTCATAATAGACTGATTGGTAAAAAAGGAAAATCACAAGTGTTGCAAATTACACTACAAAGCAGCCGGAGTGCATGACAAACAAATAATGAATATTGTTGTTTTTTTTCAATAAAAGGACGATTTTGTCAATTATCTCAACAATAATTGCTGATCTTTTAGTATGCAACATGTGAAAGCAGTAGCTTTTGTGTGACAGCGTTCTAGTGTAATGTAATATAACAAAATCTAATATCTATTCACAGTGCTAACCTACTCCTCCAGGGGCTAGATATTTATCTCTCGCATACAGCACAGAGTCCAACATGGACTCAAACAACAGGAAGTAGCCCATCCACTCAGAGATGATGATGTCCACTTTATCCACGGGTAAATCCACATCTTCTATCCGACCTTTAATGACTGTTACACGATCCTCCAAGCTGTTCTCTCTGTTAAAAGTATTAATCCTCAGTAAGATTTCAGAACATGATATTCATCATCATCTGTTAATTAATTCAAATATACTTTTATAATGAAAAACATACTAAGGTACTAAGGTAGGTAAATCCCATACCATGACCCATTTTAGTAATGATTCACCATTATTAGACATTCAAAGTAGTATTGTATTAGTCTTTCAGAAATCATCACCCAGAACAGTAATCTTACATGTTGTCCTTTCTCAAACACTCTCAACTACTACCATAACACTTATGTTAAGTATTTTCCAAAATGATAATAGAGAAAACAAAAAAACTGCCAAAGGAATACTTTTCAGCTGAATGAAATGAATGAACAAATGTTGATACTTTGATATCTTTTGATGGTAGACAAAAATGTCATAATGTCAGGATTATCAGGAGTACACACCTGATGATGTCCATGGCCTGGTAAACTACATCTGATTGGTCAACACTGATCACTTGTCTTGCCCCCGACCTGGCAGCAAACATGGAAAGTATTCCCGTACCACAACCAACATCTAGTACTACTTTGTCTTTAAATAGGTCTGTGTTCTGGTACATAAAATCTCTGTAGCTCTCTGTCCGTACCTTGTCCTAAAACACAACATACTTTTGTTAGAAATTGCATAAGCAAACTGCTTATTGTTATTAACATGCAATCACAAATCACTCGAGTATAAAATAACAATATTTGATATTTCCGATATCTGCAAAAAAAATGGATTTAAAGAAATATATTTAGCAATTCTTAGATTTATGTTTTTTCTAATAAAAGAATAAAAGCAATTAATGCCAATGTTCATGTTGTAACTTTTGTCATCCTCGATATCCAGGGGGTACGCTCACTTTCACTCTCTACACCCCTTGAACATGTCAAGAGTAAAATTGACGGCTCAGTGTTTGCCACCATGTTGATAAGACTAGTTCGATCCTTTGACATACATCAAAAGAATTTTGAGGTCACGTAACGGTAAAAATTGACAGGCTTTGAAGTCGGGCGTCTCTCCTTTGAGACCAATCAAGCAGCTATCTTTGTGCCTTCAATTTTGCTATGACATATTCCAGGTGTGTAGAGAGCGAATATGAGCGTAACCCCTGGATATCGAGGAGGAACTTTTGGTAAAATTATAAGAGCTCCCTTATTAATAAAGCCTTTGATTAAGTTTAATTAATTTTCTGACAAAAGACAGCTAATGAACTGCAAAGTGTGCTTTTGGCCGATATTGTACAGCATGAAAACATAAAGATAATTCAGCATTTCTTTGTCACTTTCTTTCAGAAAGACAACTCACCTACCTTTGACTATTTGATTACATTGTACTTTAAACGTTTAATTACTTATTCACTATTAACCTTTAATTACTTATTCACTACTAACCTTTAATTACCTATTCACTACTAACCTTTAATTATCTATTCACTACTAACCTTTAATTACCTATTCACTAACCTTTAATTACCTATTCACTACTAACATTTAATTACCTATTCACTACTAACCTTTAATTACCTATTCACTACTAACCTTTAATTACCTATTCAATTACCTTTAGCATTTCTTCATGTATACTAAAATGTGCATAGGACCCAAAGTAGGCATCATCCTCATCCTCCGTCAAGGTTTCTATAATATTCTGTGGTTTGATTGGCTCTTGAGATTGTAACATCACAATATCCTTAGTAACAACCCTGAAAATAAATACAGTCAAATTTTTAATTTGAAGTAGCTAAAACACAGTCTCCTTATAGAAATCAAAGTCAACAAACATACCAGGGTAATAATTCCTTTAAGCAATTTCAAATCATTTTCCTAGATTCTTATCAAAATATATCAACACTTCATTTTGTGTAAGTAGCACAGGTGAGGTTTCAAGAGAATTCCAAAGGGGCAGCTGGATTTGCTTGAATCTCTCAGTCAAAAGCTTATCAACAGGGCTCCTTTTGATAAACATAGAAGATGGCTGTTTGTTGTAAAGGGTTTAACTTCCTACCAACAGCTAAGGTCATTTAAGGACGCTAAACATAAAAGAGAAAATATACCAGTATGAGCAATACTCTACTAAACTGATACAGGTATTTATAAATAGATTTTAAAATGTCCATTGTGGGATATACTGTATAACAAATTTTAATGTGAACTTACATCGGTTTACATTAGGTAGTAAATATATTGCAAGCATGAAATATTGTTTAAAAATGTTTTGTTTAAAGTGGCATCTGTTTTGAAATTAAACCTATATCTGTGTCAGATCAGTTATCACGACGTTTAAGTTTGTGTTAACGGCTCAGGCATTCAGGTTCATATGGACAGAAATTCAGGTTCAAGTGATAGATCGATTCTTCACAATCAACATTCACCAAATGTAAATATACGTTTACAATACCATCATCAATAACTTGTCCTGCCTTGCTCAGTTTAGTGGCACAAAGCTGAAGTTGTTTTTTTTATAAACATACTTTTATCTACCAAGCCTATATGATGTAAAACCTAAAATCATCAACAGTAAAAACACTACGCTGCTACACATAAACACACAATCCTTTCCTCTGTGTAATCCATTTACTGCTACACATACACACTCAATCCTTTCCTCTGTGTAACCCAATTACTGCTACACATACACACACAATCCTTCCCTCTGTGTTACCCATTTACTGTTACACAAACACACACAATCCTTTCCTCTGTGTAACCCATTTACTGCTACACAAACACACAATCCTTTCCTCTGTGTAACCCATTTACTGTTACAAAAACACACACAATCCTTTCCTCTGTGTAACCCATTTACTGCTACACATACACACACAATCCTTCCCTCTGTGGAACCCATTTACTTCTACACACAATCCTTCCCTCTGTGGAACCCATTTACTTCTACACACAATCCTTCCCTCTGTGTAACCCATTTACTGCTACACAAACACACACAATCCTTTCATCTGTGTAACTCATTTACTGCTAGGGAGGGACACAATCATTTCCTCTGTGTACCCCATTTACTGTTACAAAAACACACACAATCCTTTCCTCTGTATAACCCATTTACTGCTACACAAACACACACAATCCTTTCCTCTGTGTAACCCATTTACTGTTACACAAACACACAATCCTTTCCTCTGTGTAACTCATTTACTGCTACACAAACACACAATCATTTCCTCTGTGTAACCCATTTACTGCTACACACAATCCTTCCCTCTGTGTAACCCATTTACTGCTACACAAACACACACAATTCTTTCCTCTGTGTAACCCATTTACTGCTACACAAACACACACAATTCTTTCCTCTGTGTAACCCATTTACTGCTACACATACACACAATCCTTTCCTCTGTGTAACTCATTTACTGCTACACAAACACACACAATTCTTTCCTCTGTGTAACTCATTTACTGCTACACATACACACACAATCCTTTCCTCTGTGTAACCCATTTACTGCTACACACAATCCTTCCCTCTGTGTAACCCATTTACTGCTACACACAATCCTTTCCTCTGTGTAACCCATTTACTGCTTCACAAACACACACAATCCTTTCCTCTGTGTAACCCATGTGTGTCTGTGTAGCAGTAAATGAGTTACACAGAGGAAAGGATTGTGGGTATGTGTAGCAGTAAATGGGTTACACAGAGGAAAGAATTGTGTGTGTTTGTGTAGCAGTAAATGGGTTACACAGAGGGAAGGATTGTGTGTAGCAGTAAATGGGTTACACAGAGGAAAGGACTGTGTGTGTTTGTGTAGCAGTAAATGGGTTACACAGAGGGAAGGATTGTGTGTAGCAGTAAATGGGTTACACAGAGGGAAGGATTGTGTGTAGCAGTAAATGGGTTACACAGAGGAAATGATTGTGTGTTTGTGTAGCAGTAAATGAGTTACACAGAGGAAAGAATTGTGTGTGTTTGTGTAGCAGTAAATGGGTTACACAATCCTTTCCTCTGTGTAACCCATTTACTGCTACACAAACACACACAATCCTTCCATCTGTGTAATCCACTTACTCCTTACTCCTATATGGTTAAACTAGCCCAGTGTGTTCTGATATCACACTTATACATCTAGTCTTCTTACTTCATTTTCTCCATGTTCTGTATTAATTCATGAATCTGTTCATCTGCCTTTGCCGACTTCTCCTCAGCGACCTTTAGCCTATGACAAAGTTCATGATATTCTGACAGCGACAAGGTCATGTTGGCCTCCCCTGGACTGCCATTTTGGGTAGTACTGACAGAATTCATCATAGGACTGTTTTCTGTATTTTCTAACATATCCTCTATATCTGCAAAAGATAAGAAATAAGAAACAATGATAAAGCAAATCAGAGTAATGGCTCATAACTCATTCATTTTCAGTTAACTGTAAACTGCATTTAATAACAGCAAGTACCCTTGTTAATCAGTGATCTAAAATTGAATATACCTGGTAAAGGTAGATAGTCTTCCATAGCACAGGGTCAATGTATAACTAGTTTACTTGAAAAAAACTTCTATATAGTGCTTTAAATTTTCTGTCAATCTTTCAGCATTTTTGTTCCTGGAAAAAATTGTAAATTTTGTACAACACTGTTTAAACTCACTACTTTAAACTAATTATCCATCATAAGGGCAACAAATCTGCTGGGTTTATAAATTGATGCAATATTTTATCTTGATCTTGACTAACAATTATAATGGAAATGAAACCACTGCAAATTATAATTGCTGTACAATAACAAATGTTGAACATAGACCACTTTAAATGACCTCTTGCTTAAAACCTGACTTAAACTCATTTGAATCAATAAACCAAACAACTTGGATTTCAGCCATGAGCTAATATTACTTTTTATTAATTAATTGATTTGAGAAATGGACTGGTGCACTGAAAAGACCAAATTACAGAATATTTGTTTATTGTTGTCTATTGAATATGTTCACGTTCACCTTCCCCACTAACAAAACACCATTTCCATCCTTTTCCTAATTGACCAAGATTGAATATCCAACAAAAAGGGATATTTTCTTTCTTACCAAATTGTAACAGGATATCATCAGGATTGCAGGGCTTCATAAAGTTATCAGATCCCCAGGGAGGCACATCACCCGGTTTGTACTTCAGCAAGTCCTCACAACTTGGTTTCTACACATACAAAACTATGACATATTAGAACATGGGTAACAATTTTAAATGAAATAAAAGTCGTCAATGAAAATACAGTAATACTTTTGTTGTTTTCCTTCTTCAGTTATTTTCAGTTTATTTTAATTAAAGTTACGTAACAGACCTTACACACAACATACTCAAGTCTTTAACTTTAATTGTGCTGAGTCAATTAACACTCCAGTATTAGGAGATCGACTCAATACTGGAAGAAGAAGAACTTTGAAATATCTAATTAGGAGGTTTTAATTATATAATCTTTCTTTGGATAAAGTGACAGCATTCTTGAGTCTTATAAGACAATATAGGATATGTTTTCTTCTATGTTTTTTATATGGTCACAAAACATGTTAAATCTAAAATGAACTGTACGTAGTGCATACACAATTCTACTACAAGTATTTAGCAGTAAGTTAGTACATCATATCCAAATCTTGTTTTTGGTCTTGCTGTAATATTTTTACAGAACTTCATGTTGCTTCTATGGTAGCATACGGTGACCATGGGTGATATTTTTGTACAATGAATAACCCATGTAATATTACAAGTATCAAAGTTTTAAAACAAAATCAGTGCTAAAATTGGCATATATACATGATGAAGTGGGCTACCAGGTATGTGGGCTTCACATTAAAAAAAAAATCAAATTTGGTTTAAGACTATATTTTTGGCCATTTACAAATCTGGGTCTACACAACAAAAGCTAGCTTTTCATGTAGTCTATTTTTGTACTCAGCACATGTGTAAATATTGTGAAAAATCCAGTTGAACAACCTATGCTAAAACGTGAGTATTTCTGTTACCGAGTTTGGTGTGGTAACCATGGTTTTCTCAAGTCCCAAATCTGGGGAAATAACTTTTTGAAAAAAAAATCATTCTTCTAAAATAAATGAATTCAAAATGCAGTTTATAAATATGTATATATATGTAGGTGTGTTGTGCAAGATAAAGCCGCTATCCATGTTTATCTGAGACATACCCTTTATTTTTAGGATCAAGCCATTTCTACTGTACTCTGCTACCTATACATAACAGCATGTTCAAGTCAATATATGTTGAAACTTACTGTTTTCCAAATTAACTTTGAAATATCTTTAAGTTATTGTGTTCCTGTTTACAACATTTCCAAATGAAAGTCATCACAGAATAGCTATTATCTTTGTAGCAGATGTGGACTTGGTCGATTGCTGGCTACCAGGTAGCTCAATTGGTTAAAGCATCTGTTAGTCAGTTCAGAGGAGTGGGGTTCAAATCCCTGGCTCTTCTGTTAAATCTTTTTTCTGTATCAAATAATTTTCTAAAAAATATCTACTCAAATAAGAAAAGTACAAAAATAAAAGAAGGAACATATTTTTTCCACCAACCTCTGTCCTGACATAGTTGACAAGTTTGATGAACTGTATACTATCGAGCTGCCAGAAACGGCCTGCCCATGCCATGTCAAACCCATGGTCACAGCGACAGTGTTTGAACATCTCATCCACCCCCAACAACCTCTGCTGGCAAAACAGGCACATCACATCTTCACCCTCTTCCATTTCCTCCTCCTTTTCTTCCCATCCTTCCCCATCGTCAGAGTCTTCTTCAAACTCCTCAAAATTGTCTGATACTTCTGTCCCAACAAGTTATTAAAGTTATAAGTCACTGTCTCAAAGTCTGAATTAGGAGTCATGAAAGGAAGTTCTAGCTTATAATTAGTGGTCCCAGAAATGGTAATAATATTACCCGGTTTATAGCATATACACTCGGTATATATTATCATTCTCTGTTTCGATAGGCTATTTCTCGATTTACAGCCAGAATTCCAAATACCAAATCAATAAAAGCTGTCAGATATGATACGACAGTAAAACTAGTAGATAACAACTCGGTTTGTGTTTGAAGTTCTGACTGTTAATTGAGATATATATTATATCATAAAATAAAAAATAAGAGTATATACTAAAAATAAACACCCTGATTTTTTTAATGATATATAAATCTCAATTTACAGTCAGAATTTCAAACACCTGTGAGTAAGTAGACTACAGTATGATGAGTATCGATAATATGAATGCAAACTGGTATTACAGTTCGATGTTGCTGTACAATTCCCACTTTTTCATATATTTGTGGAGAACAAAAAGGCAGAATAGATCTTTAGAGTTTAGAACACATTATCTGCTACAAGACAATCAGAAAACTGTTTTGATCTGATTTTTCACAACACACGTGTTACCTTTGGAAGCCATCTTTGTTTTCTACTTTCGGAACACCTTCTGAATGATCCTTCCAGCTTCACTTTGAGAAAAAGTCAGAAGGGTTTATGGCTACATTCGCGTATCCGGTTAAAACGGTTGAACCGGTTGGACCTGTAAAGAAAACGACGGGTACAGATTTGAACCTAGGCTGACCTCAGGAAAATTTGGTACGTGTAGATTGAGGGGTTCAGACGAACCTGACCGAAACTAAAATGCTGACTATTGCCAATTTGCGTTATTTCTTTCTTAAACAATGTCAAGTCACATGTAATTTTTAAGATACGTAATGTAATTTAGTGGACGCGTGAGAAAAGGGCATGCTATTCTTGATACATTGTTTTTTATTCTCCGAAACTGTGGATTTTTAGCTCTGCTTAAAGAACGGTCCAAGTGTGTTCGTTTATCGTGGAAAATTTCTGCGCCACACGTACCGTTTCAACCGGGATACGCGAATGTAGCCATGTAAAAAGCACAGGGACTTGTGACAATTTTTGTTTTCATTTTTATTTGACAAACGAATTATATATAGCTTATTGGTAAATTCGACATTTACAAATTAAAAAATATTCGTAATTATTTCATACTTCTTTTACAAAGTTAAAAGTTAATAAATAGATAAGAAAAGCAACTTGGAGTTTTATACTTTCATATAGTTCTATATGAACTATATGAAAGTATAAAACACCAAGCAAAAAATGTAAACCACAGATTTGATCAGTCAACAAAGCATTTCCCTCATAAAATGTTCTATCATTTAAATGAAGTATCTTTCCTGTCACATTTGATCTCATTTTATGCTGCATTGGTCTCACTTAAATTTCCAATAAAGTGTATTCAAAGATAAGGTTGGCTCATTTTCAATATCATTTAAAGTTTCATTGAAAGTTTCATTGAAAAAATTTGAGTTGATATTTTCCCTAAAAATGGTTCCTGAGCAAATTGTCAGTCAATACATAAACATATCAAAAGATATTATGTCTCTTGGTGCCAGAGTAGTAAGTGTTTAAAAACCCAAAAGGTTTATTAACCTCTGGCTTCCAATAGTCACAGAGTAAACATATATTGCCAGTCTTTACAACATATCCAAAGATGATCATTATTTAGTTTGAGGTGTTACCTGATATATACATCATGGTGGCCATCTTGGACTTCAGATCAATTGAACAAAAACAAACAATGGAATGGATCCATAGGGAAACATGTGTGCACAGATGTTTAATTGTATTGTCTGCTTTTCATAATTATCAAAGGAAACAGTAGAAATAGCATGTGAACTTGTCATAATGTCCTTGAAACTTCACCAATCTTTATTTTTTGACATGTTAATTTAGTAAACTTAATTAATTTGACCCTATGTTAAGAATTTATTCAACTTGACCTTTGACCAAATAACAATGTTAGCAAAATGCCCCTTCCATCTCTACTATGTATCCAAGTACGAATATATTCATACATTATTTTCTGAGTAATGGCCATTTTCAAATTTTCCAAAAATCAAATAATTATATAACAATAATAATTTGAGGTTCTTTTATACCGCTTTATCACAACCTAATTGGGCCGTCTCATAGCAGTTCACAAATTATTATCCGTGGTTATAGGGCCTTTGCAACCAGCCAATATCTTTCTTAACTCCCAGGGGAGCATACCGCCGGAGCTGCCATTTCAGTGCTAACAGCTAGCATTCAACAATTCTGGCGCTGCCCAACCACATACTCATTTACAGCTGAGTAGACTGGAACAAGCGGAGTAAAGTATCTTGCTCAAAGATTAGAGGATGTGACCTCGACTTTTGATCTCATGAATTTCAATATATCAACATATCAACATATTAATAGTTTTGTTTCTTGGGATAATGATCCAAAGCTTGGTTTTGTTGATAGAGTTCAGCATCCTATTAACCCTTTCACCCCTATGCAACTTAAGTAGACTCTACCACACATTGATATAGATGAGTCCATTATGGTCTACATTGTTGAAAGGCTTAACAGCTATATATGGTCATTTAAGGTCTTGCCTCTATGCGTTAAGCATTGGTGTATGCTGGAGGTAGTGTATTGATATATGCTTCCTTCAGATATGCAGCACAGGTCTGATGATGACTTTTAAGAGTGCTACCTTACTGAAAACCATCCCAAAGGCACCCAGGCCATCTGCTCGCATCTTATTGACAACAGGTAAAACAGTTGTTGAGCTTACTGTAATTGCTAAATGTGAAGCACTGGTGTAATAGAGGTCATTACTTTTTTCAATGCCTTTGCTAGGAGTCTAACTTGCGACCTTTGGTTTACTGGTCTTACTCTTCTGAATGATCTAAAGAGAATTATTACTCCCTAGCAGAGTAATAATACTGCAGACACTTAGAGGACCCCCCCTCATCTCTGTTCATCGATATCCCTTCCCTCCTAACCCAGATGAATTCTTTGATTTTTTTCCCTCGACTTTCAGTTGTTTTTGTCCTGGAATACTGCAGTTAAAATAATATTATAAGTGTTTGGATATAGAAGACACTATTATATGACAACATATCAAGGATTTTTGTTGCTAAATCCATTTTTTACATCAACACTCCATAATATTAAATGTTATTTAATTACCTTAATATGGGGTACATAATGCTTTTAACCAAAATTCCAAAAATGTATACAAATTAATGCAGGTTTTTGTATTTTTCATGTTTGAGGGTCTTCCATATCCTCAACACAACAAGAAGACAACACTTGTGATCATTATCTAATGTCAAGTAACCAATGAGCATTTCACCTGAAAGAAACAGTTGTAATAACAACATAAGACAGATAATGCGCTTCATTCATTTTTATTTTTGTTTTTTTTAAATTCTTTTCCTTGTTTTTTTGTTTTGTTTTTGTGTTCCTGGATTACCAAAGCATTCAGACTGCTCTCTTTGTGTGAGGCTAACTTTTACATTCGAGTCACCGTGGTCACAGTGATTACAGTTACCAATGACCAATCAAATGTCTCATCATTGACATACATACCTACAACAAACTTGTTCTCTGGTATTGAAGCTTGTTTTATAGCATGCATGATTCCGACACAGTCAAATGACAATTTATACAGCCCAGAACATGGACATTTTGGCAACATGGTAGAGCATAGTACTATAACACATACCTATGTTGAAAACGAGGATAACGAATCCTTTTAGTTCATTAACAAAAAAAGACAACCTTTTCTATTTTTCTTTTTTTTTTTGCAGCTTATTCTCTAACATATAATGGTTGAATGATCATGAATAATGGTGACAAAATGAAATTTGGGTCATTCTTAGATTATAGTTGATCATGATATGTGGTATGACAAAAAAATCTTACTTGAAATATGCCTGAAAAATGTTTACTCAATATAATGCTGTTTTGTTCATAAAGCTTCTTTTTTGTAATATTTAAACTGCAATATCAAATGTAAAAGGAACAGATCTTTTTCGTAGATTTCACTTGGCCAACACATCTGGGTCGTACATCAATTCATATTGTTCTAGCTTAACTTATACTGATGATATTTCACAATAAAAAAATATCCTTCCATTCAATCAGTCATTTAATCATACCCATTCGCTCACGTACACCACAATTATAGCTCTAGAGATATCCCACCGATATCAAGAATAGAATAATGATGTTAATTATCGAACACTTAAACCACAATTATAGCTCTAGAGATATCCCATCGATATCAAGATAGAATAATGATGTTAATTATCGAACACGTACACCACAATTATAGCTCTAGAGATATCCCACCGATATCAAGATATAATAATGTTGTTAATTATCGAACACTTACACCACAATTATAGCTCTAGAGATACCCCACCGATATCAAGATAGAATTATGATGTTAATTATCGAACCCTTACACCACAATTATAGCACTAGAGATATCCCACCGTTATCAAGATAGAATAATGATGTTAATCATCGAACACTTCCACCCCAATTATAGCTCTAGTGATATACCACCGATATCAAGATAGATTAATGATGTTAATTATCGAACTCTTACACCACAATTAAAGCTCTAGAGATATCCCTCCGATATCAAGAATAGAATAATGATTTTAATTATCGAACACGTACACCACAATTATAGCCCTAGAGATATCCCACCGATCTCAAGAATAGAATAATGATGTTATTTATCGAACACTTACACAACAATTATAGCTCTAGGGATATCCCACCGATATCAAGCATAGAATAATGATGTCAATTATCGAACACTTACTCCACAATTAGAGCTCTAGAGATATCCCACCGATATCAAGATAGAATTATGATGTTAATTATCGAACATTAACAGGTTGTAGAATTCATGCTTGTAAAATAAATAAATCTATAAATTATATCTCTTCAGAATAATAATATAACCAACAGTGTTTCTCTGTTAAACATGTAACAATATGTTAGAACAAATTTGACATTCAACAAAATAAACTGTTTTGGTCCAATGTATAGATGTTTGTCATTTGCTTTACAATATTAAACAGATTTCCAAATAAAACAAATCAGGTTTAGTCATTCAAATACATAATTATGTTAGCTTATGCTTTTTGTTTTTTTCTATATTCAGCAATAATTCTAATTAACCTGGTAACATTCCTAATAAATAGACAGAAAATATGAAGGAAGAGGAAAGTCCAGGATCGTTTTCCTTAAAATCATAACGCTTGTGAAAGGAAATACAGAGATTTCTATAGGTAAATGGTATTTCAAATCAAATCTTTGAAGAAAATATTCATAAATTAACTGAAGAGTTTAAAATGAAACCAGAGTAGGGAGGAGATTGTCCTTTTTTTGTGGTATTTTCTGTTTTGATTTCTCAAATAGAAGGCAATAGATGCGATGAAGCAGGATTAATGCAAAGCTAGACAGTTGGCTGACGTGGAATGCGCGGTGCAAATCCCTTTGTTCCATCGGGACCTTTTGGCTGTCGAAGAGCAACCATGCGAGGACTGATCATGTCATCATTGATACTCTTCAGTCTACTCACTAGACGTTCAGGGCGCTGTCGGCTCCTACAGAATAAACAGGATATTTGTCAATCGGTTATCTAGTGCTCGCTACACTATTGTAGTATAGTGGTTGAATTCAATAACACAGTCCTATCCAAATATGTTGGTAGTTTATAATATTAGTAAGGTATGGAGTCTTCACCGACACACTAGGTGGTTCATCAATCTAAGCCTCACTAATCAGATTCCTGTGAGTAAAACATTCTTAAATGAATATATCGTAGGCCCCTTTTACGTATCCAGTTAAAACAGTTAAACATGAAAGAAAATGACAAGCGCAGATCTTTAACAAGGCTGACTTAATGAATATTCGGCATGTGTAATTTGAGGGGTCCATACATGCCTGACCGAAAATATAATACTGACTATTGCAAGTTTGCGTTATTTTTTAATAAAACAAGGTCAAGCCACATGTAGATTTTAAGATACCTTATATAATTTAGTGGACGTGTGAAAAAAGGACATAATGTTCTTGATACATTATTTATATTATGAAACTGTGCATTTATTAGATCTGCGCATAGCTCGGTCCAATTGCGTTCATTTATAGTGGAATAATTATGTGCCACCTGAACTGTTTCAACCGGGATACGAGAATGCGACCATACTGATTGCCATGTGTTTATTTTACAAAAAATGTTTTAGAGGAATTATGCCTAATACCTGCTTGATTAAAATGTTACGATCAAAGACATCTTGCTGTTTCAAAATTGCTGTAAGCATTCTTGGAGCATCCTAATTACTACCTCTTGTATTAGGTCAGCACTAGTACTAGCATAACCATATACAGTTTTCACCTGTGTTATGTAAACACCTTCCATGTGTGAACCAAGTCAAATACCAAATCTGATGGTGATCATGTCATGCACAATATAGTAAAACAGGTTTACTACCAACATGCTTTTAGTGCATTCTTGCTTATAACACGGTTATATTTATGTCCCCCTTGCATGTAATACTGAAGTATACCTATACTAAGTTCTTAGCTCCCCTGTATGTGATTTTCTACATTTATATTAGCTAAATTAGCTAAAACTTAAAATGGAGCAGGTACAGTCAAACCTCGTTATCTCGAACTTGTATAACTCGAAGACCCCATTTAACTCGAAGTATGTCATCGGTCCCGGCCAAAACTCTTCTTAATCTAAGTAATAGAAACTCTGATAAATCGAACTCTGAAAACTTGAAAAACTTGGATATCCCGAAGTGAAACATCGGTCCCAACAACGTAAATCCTACATCAAAATATCTCCTAACTCGAAGTTTCTTAAGATTCACAAGTCTGTCATATATTCTTTAATTATTTGATACATATTTGACGCAGTGCTACGCGAAACATCGTTCTAATTGAGCACATTACGCTCGATCATAATTACTTCGATTAAACTTATGGCATTAAAATGTGTTTGACTGTAAAAATACTTTGTACAAATAAAGAAACAAACTTCATCAATGTTGATTAACAACAATTAGTACTTACTGCGAGCCCGTAAACAATTTGAATGGCACTTTATTTACACCAAAGCTGCCGACACATTCTAACCAGAAAATGGGTCACAGTGTGCGGTCATGCGTAAATAAGTTCCACAGTAAAAATCACAACCTAGGACAGGTTCGTTGGTTTATGTTTTTACAGGAGCTTGTATGGCACCGATAATTAATTGAGAGATCATAGGAACAATACGATAATTATTGTTGACTACGTCGTGGTGAGGAGATATCAAGTGTCATTGGGGTCTATAAATGAAGATATGTTTCCTGATTAACTCATACACATTTCGGAATGTCGAAATCAACTGAGCAATCCAACGTGTATGCTCCAATACAGTGATTTGTATAAAGACTAGCTTGGCACCTTCATTTCCGCATTGAAATTTCTATCAGCATAGCACGAGGTCGGAGACAGAATGTGTGTGTATTGTAACATTAATTAATTAATGAATATGATTATGAATAAGTTGTTATTTTTTTTAATTTTAAATAGTTATCTTTTTGTCATTTATCGACTGTTTAAATACGTTGATTGTCAGAGAAATCAATGACATATATAGCCTCATATTGGACCAAACACGTTACAAAGTTTTATGCCAACCATAGGAACTCGCTTAACTCGAATACTCGGATAACTCGAAGTTTCCCAACTATCCCGTCAACTTCGAGATAACGAGGTTCGACTGTAGTTTAAGAAATAATAGGATAATCCCTTACTTGATTTCATACTTCCATGCATAAACTTACGTGATTTTTCTAACGCTACAAGCAGAGAATTTCTTGTTGCGCTGATTTTGTACGACAACAAATTCCACCTCATCTCCAGCTTGAATGTCCACCCCGTCATGGACCTCAGTCATGTGGAAAAACAGCTTCTTCCCTTCCTCTGCTGCCTCGTAGTTGATGAAGCCAAACTACAACCCAAAACATTCAAAATATCTTAACAGGTTCTACAAAATGTGCATGTACTATATGACACAAAAGTAGAAATGAATTTCTTCATATAATCTCTTTCAGTGTGTTTCACTTAAACTTCCATTCCTTTTACATTAAAACAAATTTATAACAAACCTTAAGAAAGCTTAATGATTTGTATACAGGTCGGCAAAAAAACGTACAATTTCAAGTAAAAAGAAAATATGAATTAGTGCTAAAAACCAAGTTGGTCAAACAAGTGTTTAACAAGTTTTACTGTCTACTACTGTAATTATACAACATAAAGTTTTAATTCTCACACTTATAATGAATGATCAACAATCTGAAACTACTCGGAGGTAGAGCATATATGCATACCTGTCCTTTCACAGAATCCACCTTGGCACGGATGTACTTGCGGACTGCTGCAATGTTGATGGCTCTAGTGACACCATTTTTACTAGCTGCCAGCTGGAATTTGACAGCATCTGCAGTCTGAAGGAAGTCTCGTTTATCAGCCAGACTTGTGATACCGTAAGGATAGCAGACTGGTTTAGCATCCTCGTCTGCAGGGTCCACCTGTACAAGGCCGCAGTATTCCTCCTGTTCTGGGTTGACAATTCTCATTGGTCGGATAATCTTTCCCTTGAGTACACCCTGGTCTCGCAGGATCTCCTCCACAGGAATTGTTCCCTTGGTTACTCTACGGATATTTTCGGCACTCACTTTGGCATTTTTCCTAGTGACAGTATATTCTACCTCATCAGCCAAGTCCAATTCTGTGGGATCTCCATCAAAAGAGCTATAATTGTAAAAGAAAAATAGTTACCCTCAAAATTATACCCGGTGTCGAAATGTTCACATTTGCAATGCTGCAGTAATCTTTGAAGTGTATCGAATGTTGGCAGGTAAATATTTTCACACTGACGTCTTCAACATGTGAACATTTCTACTTGTACAGCATCACATGAGGCTTTGCCAAAGGTTCAACTCCCAGTAAAAAAACACAAGGGTGGAGCCCTTCAATCTTCTATTAACATATAGAAATTAGTATTTTTCTCTCTTACCTTTTAAACAAATTAAGTCTAAATGTTAATATAAAGTGAAAATACCGATTTAAATTCATATGATGTTATATCAAAGTAACAAATATTACCCAGTGCTATCATTATAGTGAAGTCATAATTTCAGCTCTGCTCATGGAATGCCATGTAAGAGATTCATCACATCAACAGATTTATTACATGGGATTGTTCTAACTTATTAACACGCTATCAGAGATATCAATAGCCAGAAACTGATATGGTATGTTAAGACATGCAGACAACAATGTTCTGTGCTCTTTTGAAAAGGCATGAGACTGATAATTAAACATTCAAATCACTTTCAACAGTGATTGCTTATGCCTCGACACTTACCTGAAATGAAAGAAGACTTCCTTCTCATGATCAGCACTTTCAATAAACCCGTAGTTCTCTTTGAGTGTTGCTACGTATCCCAAGCATTTACTGGCCACATTTCTGAATAGCACCCTCACATTTACAGCACCTCTACTGTTGTTCCTCTTAATCTCGGCAAGGTTAAACTCAACCTGTAAAACAGATCATATCCTTGACTTAATCTCGGCACATTTGAAATCAACCATTAAAACAATAATCTACATCTTTACCACAGCAAGATTAAGCAAGTATACGTATATACTTGATCATGAGTGAATATCATACTTATATTGATAGTCTATTTACCTTGTCCCAATATCCCAGGGAACTAAGTATATGTAAATTACCTTGTCACCGTATCTGGTCAGGGATCTAAGTATATGTTTTTTTACCTTGTCACCATATTTAGGCAGGGATCTAAGTATGTTTTTTACCTTGTCACCATATCTGGTCAGGGATCTAAGTATATGTAATTTACCATGCCACCATATGGTCAGGGATCTAATTTATAATATAAGTATATGTCATTTACCTTGTCACCATATCTGGGCAGGGATCAAAGTATATGTAATTTACCTTGTCACCATATCTGGGCAGGGATCTAATTTATAATACAAGTATATGTCATTTACCTTGTCACCATATCTAGGTGGGGACCTGGGATCCACAAGGTCCTTCAGCTGGTATGGTACCTGCTGGATCGTTCCTTCAAAGTCGAAAATTATGTTCCCACAGTCTGAATCTTTGTTCTTGGCTGTTTAAAAGAAATAACATTACGGAATTGACATTAAAACAAAATTTATACATTCTCTGCAAAATGTCTTAATTTTATGATAGACAATAAAAGTATTAGTAGTTTTCCTTGGTATTGTCACTTCACTTTAAGTCATTTGATGGTTAATGGGGGTCTCTGTTAAATTACTTTTTCATCTTTACCTAATGAATTATTTTGAAAAAATCTTACATGAATATTCACTTTTCACAAACCTTTAACACCTATTTAGAATTTTCATAGCATTATTCCATTCATCCCAATTTTTTTTTATTATTATTCTATTTTTTAGAAAAGAAAAAAAAATGTCAAATTAATATCAAATTTGATATGTAAATATTAAATTAAAAAGAATACAATAATTTAGTAATGAAGAAAATATTTGTTATTTTTTTTATTTCTAGGTCATTTGTCTTAATAGTTTTGAGTCAATTATCAAGTCATGTACATTTTTCTAAATGAAATTATCTGTCTTACAATAGATCTACATGAAATAAGGTTTTCTTTCCTATTTTGTCATGCATGCTACATCATTGTAATATACAACTAAACAATATTTATCATACTTGCCATGCCTAATAATATAATTTTACTGATTTAACTCTGGTCCAGAATCCGTACCAGATGTCATTACTAGGCTCACTCCAGCAGATGTAACAAAATGGTACACCATCAATATACTTTTAGACGATGTGCAACTTCTGCATGAAATGAAATAAACAGGTAACCCTGAATCAATGTTGTTATGTTGTTAACGTTTGATGTTGTTAATGGAAATACACATCTTTATTTTTGCAGCATTATGACTAACGGAAAGCTGATTATGACTGAGAAATAGGCTTGTGTTTGGCAATGAACAATGGCATTCATCGTCTTCAAAATACAACTTTGTAGCACAGATCTTCAGTTGAGAAAGACTTTGGTTACAAAGTTGATTAGTTTTTTTAAATAAAGGTAGATTTTATTGTGATATTAGTAAAATATCCAGAATTACTTGCACAAGTTTTCATAAATACTTGGTGATATATTAACGAGTGTTCCTATCAAATGCACTCACAGCCATGTTGTTTCTATTTTGACCACCTGATGCTTCATGTTGCAGGAAGTTTGAAATAAAACATGTCAATAAACAAGAGGCCCATGGGCCTTAACGGTCACCTGATATATTTATACAGAGTTGATTTTGTTTTTAACATGAACAGAAATATTATTCAAAGTGACAAAAAACAATAAAACCACCTTACTCAATATCTAGCATACAGATTTCAGACTGAAAAGGATTTGAAACTAGCACCTCTGATTCTTAACAAGGAAAATGAAGAAATTTTAGCACACTGACTCCTTTGAGCCCCACCCTACAGCCCTTGGGGGTAGGGCTGGCTCAAAATTTTCAAAGTATCAAACTGTCAATTCAAGGTTATAATTCCAATCAAGTTATTAACATGTAATATTCAAAGTATCA